ACAACAACGTGAAATGGCGAAGTTCTGCGTATCATTGAGAACCCCTAACGACGACGGCTAATTTGTCGTATTAACATTTGGAATTGAACGCTATCGTAGCATATTTGGCCTGAGCACGTTTTTAGAGCCATAAGCGTACTGAATAGGTCTAGACAATAACGAATTTCACTCGTCCGGTAAAATGTAAATTCATTTTGACTAGGCGTCGTCCTTGGCGCAAAACACGACGGCAACGGCAACGAGAACGTCACCAAACAAAACGTTTAATGAGCAGAATAATGGCTGTGCACGTGCATTATAATTCTTGGTACATTTCTTTGCCGTCCTCTGCAAAACAACAACATGAAATGACCAGTTTCCAAGTTGTTTGACAACGGGACCCACTACGGCTAATTTTTCGTATTTCTATTTGGAACTGAACACATTCGTAGAATATTCAACAGGGGCAAGTTTTAATACCGACGAACACACTGGATGGTTCCAAATAAATGCGAAATTCCGAAGTAAATTAGAAACACATTTTTTACTAGGCGTCGTCGTCGTAAATGCGTAAGGTCCTTAACTTTACAACACGAGTTGCGTGGATGTTCTCGTGCGAGTGAAGCCCTTTGCACTGTCCACGTGATCAAAATTCACGTCACAGGATTGGCTATTTGTAGTCCCCCTTGGGATTTCCTAAACGGGGAACTGGCCTAAAAAGATTACCACGAGAATAAGGATTAATTCACTCAACCCTCATCGTCTCTTTCCGAAACTCAATTGTATTACTTTTGTATTTGCTTTTTTTAAAGCCCCGCAGATCTTTCCATCTATATACAATTGAAGACTACACTGCAGAAAAATGCTATGCATTACTTGCAAAAAATTTCGGACGATTTTAATTTCGGACAAAAGAAGTGTCCGAAAATAAAACTCAAATATTTACAGTACTGTATAAAACTGTTAAATAGCTCCAAAGCTCGTAGTTTCCTTTATGGTGCGAACACTAGTCAAGATACTGCTTTAGATACGTAACGGCTGGATAAAGGATTTGAATGTGTTATTTTCTCCTCCGTTTAATTCATCTGTAAATCCTTGAGGCTAAAGTAAAACTATCATCTCCACATATGTTGTTTCAGTCTAATTTGTGCTTTGTAGGCATGATTCAGCAAAGTGTCCGAAATTATTGTCCGGAATGAGATAGAAAGTGTGCAAAAATTAACATCCCAAATTTTTTGTAAGTAATGTAGACGATTTGTTATATCCCTTGGCTTACTGGCGATGCAGCATCGGTGGGTGTTGTTGCATTGGAACCGATTTAAAACCATATCCGTCTCTTTTTTCTGTTTTTTTTTTTAATCATTAAAAATTAGCTGTCAATACATCATTGTATAGATGAGATTAAAATTATAATTATGAATATATGTTATTGAACTTGCTCGGTCTGTATATCTGGGAAATATTAGTCGAGTAAAAGTTATTTTTTCCACGATTCGTTCCATAAACTTAACTACACCAATATTCCACAAACGACAGAGCAAACAAGCTACTAGCTCAGTAAAGTAGTAATCATGTGGTTCTTATAAAATGAAGGAGGTCGGGTAACTTAGAAGAAGAAGAAGGGACAGAAGAAAATTCTGCTGATAAATTAATGCATCAATTTTCTGGTAAGCGCGCGCGCGCCAAAGTTTAGCATCTATTTGCGTTTTCAGTCCGCTTTCATGAAAGTTTAACTGAAATTATCTTCCAAACATAAAGGACAATATTTAATTTTACTTGTTATAAGAAAAAGTGTTTTCTCTCGTCCAGTGTTTTGGAATTGGAAAAGCAATTTTCCGCAACTATTTGTTCCATGTCAGAGGTCCGTTTTTTTCCCGCCCTTGGAACCAATAGGAGTTCTCCATTTCGTCGTGGGTTTTTTTTTTTGGCGGGGAGGGGGGCGGGAGTGGGGTTCCGAAACGAACACGAGGTGCACTAATAAACGAAAAATTGCTTCTTGTTATCCTTGAGGTTTCAAAGGGAACAAACGACTTAACAGGAAAATGAACAAGATCAATAACTAGCTAATTGTTTTATCTTAACCGAACACAGTTAGTAAGATTTTCCTCTTTTCGTAACAGAGAAAGGGCTGCTAATTGAGGTTCAGCGCGGGAGCGTTTCCGGGTGAGAAAATGCTGACCGCGTGCGAAACAGATCAGAGAAACAGTTTTAAATAATTGTCTTTGAATAGATTTTTCTAAATGCGACGACGTTTAATTTTCCTCAGCAAATTCACCATTTGGTAAACATCGCTGAAAGTCAAACTACAAAAGAGAAGATGATAGAATACCC